AAGATTATTGGAAGTTTGATAAAGGTGTTTACAATAATGAATATGTAAGACATTAAGGTCGAATTTCAACATTTTTGAACTATATATATATATAAAAGATCAAATTGGCACGTAAAGAATACGTCAGAAATCGTACATGTTAATATCTGAGATTGAATTTTTGTCATTTGTATCAATAAAACTGACTCGATTTCCCTATACAATTGCACTCTTTGCATGGGATTTATTACGTTAATCATATATCAACCCACATATGATCAAGTTCTACTTTGATAAAGGTGAATTTTTAAATCAAACTTTTGAATATAAACTGTGTTTTATGTAAAACAATAGCGGATAGAATTGAAGTTGCGGGTTACTTCATAATTTTTTATTCAAATTTTTAACAGATCGTGATAGAAGATCCAATTCAAATGAAAAAGAAATCGAGATAACAGCAAAGGCATAAAATTCAAATAGTACCACAAGGGTACGAAATTTTATCTTTCAAAGAAAGTTCACTTCGTGCATTAGCTACGATATGCTCCCGATATGGAAAAAAATTGATACTTTATTAATATATATATTTTTTGGAAAAATTGCACGAAATGCATTACAAATTTATTTGGTCAAATGTATAAATATTTTTTTGCTTTATTATATCTGTAATTAATAATATAATGTACATGTATTTTAGAAATTCAGACGTGACATCCATGTCACTGGCGCAGTAGCGATCAAACTTTACCATAATTTCAGCAATTACATAATTTATATTATCCTGACTTAAGTTTGAAATAGATGATATGGAAAATGGTTTTATGCTTCCAATTTTTATTTTACCAATACTGACAAATAAATCGTATATCTTTCCTTTCTTTTTTTCATTACATCATTGGTAATATCATCAGGTAGTTGTTTTCAGATTTCCTCATTAACCAGGGCTAAACAGGCCCGTTCTCCATAATTCAGATTCCTGTAATGTTTGAAACGTTTTCTCATAGCTTCACCGAAGTTGAAATAGCATTCAATAACTTTCTTATTTGCTATTTCACTTTTAGATTTGGCATGTGTAATTTTGTTATAATGGAATAGCCACGAAATAGCTGCCTCTAGTAAAAAATTAGCATTATTTTTGTCAATTTCCATTACTTTTTCAGATTTTTCAGATACCATTGATGTCAATTCTTCGATAAGTTTTTTTAACATAGGGGATTCTTCTTTTTTAACCGGTATCTTCACTTTCTTGATAGATGATTTTTTTGCTAGGTTCACTAGTATGTTTTTTACTGTTGAGATTGGGTGAGTTCTCGATAGCTGGAATTTCCTTCGCATACTCCATTTCATCATCTTGTATTGCTGGGGAATTGATCTGAAGTTGATTACTCATTCTCCTAACTATTGATGAAGTACTTGACTGGGATGACTGTTGAGAAAATCTTTGTTTATAAACTACAGGATCGACTACTTTGTCACAGCCAAAAAAAGAACATTTGTTCTCTTTCGTAAGTAAAAACTTTTTTTTGATACATTTTTCATAATAGATGTCCATATGCGAGAATTGTAAATGGTTCATAACTAATTGTTAAAATTTTTTTTTCACATTTCAAACATGGCACCAGTTCAATAACTTCAGTATTTTGAAAAAATATATTGTATATTTGATTTCTTTTACAAAATTTTAAAGATTAATAAGAGAAATATTTGCAGATAAATATATTGACAACAAGTTCTTACCTTTTTGATTTATATAACTGGTGAAATGGAATTCATGCTCAACATTTCTCTTTATTATAGTGGATCGAAAATAGGAAATGAAATAAGCGATCGGTGAAAAAAGTAAAAATGAATTTTATTTAATCAAAAAATACCCAATGATCATATATCTGAAAAATTAAGTTGCACAGAAAACATGTGAATCGTAATTAACAGAAAAACGAGGATCCAGTTTCAATAGATTCAGATATGAATTAATAATGGTCATATCACTAATGTATAATCTACCTGTAAAATTGAAATTTAGATATACTATATTTGAACATGAACAAATAATTTCATCAATTTCTTTATTCGATAAATTTCCACAGTATGTAAAAATAAGATTTCTTACACTTGATCCATGATATGGGCTTAACTCCTTATATATCCTGATAAACTTTGCTTGTTGGAATTTATTCAATTCAATGTGATTCCATAATATTTTTTTTACATTGCAATATCAAAACCAGCTAACAAACAGAACATGATAAAGTGTCTTGTCTTTACACAGGTCAAAATTTAAATATCAGACATTTATCGAACACCTATCGGGAAAAAATAAACATATCGGGTACCTGATATAATTGATTATTACTAAGTACTTGATAATTAATTTTTAAATTTTATCATGCACCCGATATAATAGTGATAGGTGTAAGATAATTTTATTATTATCTCAGGTCCCCGATATTGTCTTGAAGATCAGGTGCATAATACTAAAATAGTAATATCAGGTGGATAATATTCTAATTATTTTATTCGAGTACACAATATTATTATATGCTCATTGTATTAGATAATCTCTTTATTATTTATTA